CTGAAAAAAAAAAATTTTTTTTTTTTTTTGAGACAGAGCCTCAAGCTGTCGCCCTGGGTAGAGTGCAGTGGCATCACAGCTCACAGCAACCTCCCAACTCCTGGGCTTAAGCAATTCTCCTACCTCAGCCTCCCAAGTAGCTGAGACTACAGGCGCCCTCCACAATGCCCTGTTTTTTTGGTTGCAGCTGTTATTGTTGTTTGGCGGGTCTGGTCTGGATTCGAACCTGCCAGCTCAGGTGTATGTGGCTGGCACATTAGCCGGTTGCACCACAGGCACCGAGCCTTTCATAAAACATTTATAGGAAGAAATAACAGCATCTTGAACAAACTTTTCTAAAAAGAAGAAGAGAAACTCTTCAGTTCATTTTATAAGGCTAGCGTAACCCTGAAACTTAAGTCAATTTTAAAATTTTAGGACAGGTGCTATAGGTGGCTCATGCTTATAATCCCAGCACTCTGGGAAGCTGAGGCTTGAGGATCCCTTTAGCTCAGGAGTTCAAGACAAATCTGAGCAAGAGCAAGACCCCATTGGTACTAAAAGTAGAAAAAATTAACTAGGCATAGGTGCCTGTAGTCCAGGCTACTCAGGATACAGTTCTAAATAAAGTACTAGTAAACCAAGTTCAACCACCTGCAAAAGTTGGGTATGACTCAGGAATGCTGCAATGTTGGTTTAACAATTTTAAAATCCATTATTAGGCCGAGCACGGTGGCTCATGCACTCTGGGAGGCTGAGGTGGGTGAATTGCTTGAGTGTAGAAGTTCAAAAACACCCTTAGCAAGAACAAGATCCCGTCCCTACTAAGAATAGAAAAACTAGCTAGGTGTTGTGTTGGGTGCCTATAGTCTCAGCTACTCAGGAGGCTGAGATAAGAGAATCACTTGAGCCCAAGAGTTTGAAGTTGCTGTGAGCTGTGATGCCACTGAACTCTACTGAGAGCAACAAAATGAGACTGTCTCAAAAAAAAAGAAAAGAAAAATTGATCTGTTTTACAACATTAAAATTATAAACTTCTTTTCTCAAAAGGCACCATAAAAATAGTGAGAAGACAGGCCATCAAGTGGGAGAAGATACATCACATATAACCTGTAGAGGACTGATACCCATGATATACATAAAGAACTTCAACAAATCAATGAGTAAAAGCCAGATAAAACAAGAGAAAAATGGGCAAAAGACTTCTATATCACTTCACTAAAGAGGAATTCCAAATGGCCAATAAACATATGAAAATGTGTTCATCTTCATTAGTAATCAGGGAAATGCAAATTAAAAACCACAATGATATATCATTTCTTATCAGGTAAGGAAAAAATAAAGCATTCAACAATCTGGCAATACTGGTTTTTGGTGAGGTTTTGAAATGAAGAGAATTTTTTTTTAATATATTATTGCAGTTGTTTAGCTGGCCTGTGCTGGGTTTGAACCTGCCACCGTTGGTATATGTGGCTGGTGCCATAACCGCTGTGCTATGGACACTGAGCTGGGAATTGTTTTTATTTAATGTTTTGTTTTGCTGTTGGTGAATTAAATTGGCACAGTATTGTTAGGGGAAAAAATGGTATTGTTTAGAAATACTGAAGATCTAGATAGCCTTTGACCTGGCAGTCTTCATTCCTTGATGTATACCCTAAGTAGAGCCAGGTACTCATGTGTAATAGAAATATGTATAGAAATGTCCATTAGCAGCATTTTCCATAATAGCCAAAAACTGGAAGGGAAAAAAAGGTCTATCTACAGTTGAAAAGAAAGTGAAATTGTGGTAAATTCATACTGTGGAATGTTATACATTAATGAAAATGAAGGAACTACAGTCATATGTAATAGTATGAGTTATTCCCACCAAAGCATTATTGGAAAGCAGATACAATAGGATAATATGATTCCATTTAAATGAAGATCAGAAATAGCCATAAGACAAAAATTATGTTATTTAGGGATTCAAGGATAGATGGTAAATTTGTAAAACAAGGAAATCAGCACAGATGCCAATTTGAGGGAAAGTTCATGATACAAGATAGAGGCATATGGGCTTCTAAAGTGCTGATGATTTAAGATTTATTTATCCGAATGGTGTTAGCTTTACCTGGGTGCTAGCTTTATAATTATTTATTAAAGGGAACATGGATTTTTAATCCAATTTGAAGATAATTATCTCTTAACTACAAATTGTATTTGTTTAATGTCATCTTAATGATGTATATGGGTTCATAATTATCTTACTACTTGTTTTCCATTTCTTATATATTTTATGGTCATTTCCCCCATGTGTATCTTATCTCTTTATTATAGCCATCTTATGGATTAATCTGGAATTTTTTCTCATTCCCCATTACCTTATTAACTATACATCTTTCGTTGTTCCTTTAGAAGTCATCCTAAGATCATGAGTGGATTGTTACTCATTAGAGTCTCATATGAAGTACTACTTTTACCCTTTTGTAGATAATGCTTGACCTTAGAATACTTTGCCCATCTTTTGTGTTTCTAATCACGTTAATTTTCATTATTTTAAATCCCCCAAGATATTATTTATACAATACTGTCATTGTTCACTTAGCATTACGCACATAGTTACTCCTATTTGTTGCTCTTCATTTTTTCCTGTATTTTTCTCATTTATATTTCCATCTTTCCATCTGGGATCATTT